TAGGTGAAGTTAAATCTATTGGAAGATTTGAAGTTTAATCTATTGGATTAAAAAATGCTCTCACCTCCTTGGGAAGCAAAGAAGCACAGTGGATGTAATGACTATTGTAACGACTATTATTAATCCTATTTTTGATGCTGAAAAATCACAAAAGGTTACAGATAAATGTCAAAACCAAGGCGAGATATTTTAAAATTTCTCTGATGCACCTGGCTAGGAAAAGGTTGCTTTAGGGTGAGTTCAGTTGAATTTTAGAACACAGAGAACAAAATTTTTTCATCTCAATTATCTCAAGATAAATTCATGCAAGCACTTGCAGCCCTTCAAATACAAATCAACTTTCCCTTAGGTTTTAGCTGAGTTTCTACTGGAAATAACAGAAATACATCTCAGAGAAAATGTTTCTTTTTTGAAAAAATGGAGGTGAACCTTTATTTCTCGGTGTACTCACACCGGCATATGGAAACACACACACACACACACACACACACACACACACACACACACACACATCATTTCTGAGAGAACTGCCTTAAGACAATGGTAATTAGGATTTTAAAAGTGAGGACATAAGCATAGAATAAATATATTTATAGATCTCTACTAGATACTAGAAATTCTGGGAAAAGTTCATATCCATTGAATGCAGACTAGTTATCTATGTATTCACCTCTGACAAGAATAAACACTTTTAAAACAGACATTTCAAAGTGTTTATAGATAGATAGATAGATAGATAGATAGATAGATAGATAGATAGATAGATATAGATGTAGACTTAGAATGCTGAAGGTGTGACAGTTATCCTTGCAATAACTTATCAGAATGCTGCCTAAGACTAAGTGCATTTCCAACACCAGCATCCTGGGAGCTTGTTAGAAATGCAGCGATGCTCCAGACTATTATAGAAACAGAATCTGCATTTTAATAAGATTCTTAGATTTGTATGCCCTTTAAATACTAAAAATTCAAGGATCCCTAGTCAAAATCACCAATATGTTTTCCTGTTTTTACTTCTTTGAAGTATATAGACTACTCTTGATTATAAAAGTTCTAACCAGATTTGAAGTTTCCAATTAGATATCAAAACCCCCCAATATTCATTAAAAAATTTAAAGGGGACAAGAAGGCATTCTGTTTCTTTATTACATCAGGCATATAAGCAAAGTGAGAACATAAGCATTGCTTAAAATAGCACCGTGTATTTAATATGTAATTTAAATTTGATATGGCATTTATTTAACATCTTTTAAATTTGAAATAGAAAGTTATCTTAATTTTATATAATATATATTACCATGAAATAAGTCAATCATCATTTTAATAATGGATGAGCATTTCTTTAAGAAAAAACAGTTTAAGAAGTCTCCAAAACATTTTATTGGCACTAAACATCTTTATTTCTTATCTCATTTGAACTTGTTTAATCCTGCTTTAAATTCCGGGGACTCTGAGACCATTCATGCTCCCCACGCCAATCGAGGAATTCTCCCTCCTGAACTGCTCTTCGCTTTGGGCTTCCAGGGAAGGAGGCGCTCTGCCTCCCCTCCGCCCACTCTGCCTCCAGGTCCCAGGGAGACAGCTCCCTTTACCACGAAGAAACATACTTGACTGATACCAAGAAATAGACTTAAAGGGATAAAAGGAAACCAAACCGTGGACAGTCACAACCTGGATAATTAGCTTCGACTAAGGATTCAGGTATGGTAACTGAATTAGTTGTCCAAGGATAACTATTTCTACTGGAAATAACAGAAATACCTTGATAGTTAAAATATTTAAACACATGGAGTAGAAACGTACCTGCTATCTCAGGACTTCTGGACATATGACTGTTTTACATGATATATTTAGTCTTGTTGCAAAGTTAATGTTATTGAAGCTATCCTATATAATAAAAGTGTAATATGCAAATCGACTGAACAGCT